GGCCCTGTATGTGGACAGGGTCGAGGGGGTACGACGTTTTGAAAACGTCGTACCCCCCCGGCCCTATACGTGAACAGGGTGGAAGGGGTACGACGTTTCAAAAATGCCGTACCACCTCCGGTTCGCGGTGTGGGTGGGAGCGGGGGTACGGCGTTCTCGAAACGCCGTACCCCCGCTCCTTTTGCCTCCCGGCTACCGAAGGGGGTACGGCGTTTTCAAAACGTCGTACCCCCTCGGCCCTGTATGTGAACATGGTCGAGGGGGTACGGCGTTTTGAAAACGCCATACCCCCTCTGGTTTTCGGAGGGGGTTGGGAGCGGGGTTACGGCGTTCTTGAAACGTCGTACCCCCGCTCCTTTCGCCTCCCGGCTACCAAAGGGGGTACGGCGTTTTCAAAACGCCGTACCCCCTCGGCCCTGTATGTGAAAAGGGTCGAGGGGGTACGGCGTTTTGAAAACGCCGTACCCCCTCCGGTTTTCGGAGGGGGTTGGGAGCGGGTGTACGGCGTTCTCGAAACGCTGTACCCCCGCTCCTTTCGCCTCCCGGCAACCGATGGGGGTGCGGCGTTTTGAAAACGCCGTACCCCTTCGGCCCTGTACGTGAACAGGGTCGAGGGGGTACGGCGTTTCGAAAACGCCGTACCCCCTTCCGGTTCTTGGTGGGGGTGGGAGCGGGGGTACGGCATTCTCGAAACGCCGTACCCCCACTCTCTTTTCGCCTCCCGGCAACCAATGGGGGTCGGCCCTGTACGTGAACAGGGTCGAGGGGGTACGGTGTTTCGAAAATGCCGTACCCCCTCCGGTTCTCGGTGGGGGTGGGAGCGGGGGTGCGGCGTTCTCAAAATGCCGTACCCCCACTCCCGCCCCCACCCGACAACCGAAGGGGGAACCGCGTTTTCAAAACGCCGTACCCCATCGCCCCTGTATGTGAGCAGGGTCGAGGGGGTGCGGCGTTTCGAAAACGCCGTACCCCCTTCGCTTCTTTGTGGGCGGTGGGAGCGGGGGTAAGACGTTCTCAAAACGCCGTGCCCCCTCCGCCCTGCATGTGAACAAGGTCCAGGGGGTTTGGCGTTTCGGAAACGTCGTACCCCCTCCGGTTCTCGGTGGGGGTGGGAGCGGGGGTACGGCGGTCTCGAAACGCCGTGCCCCCTCCAGTTCTCGGAGGGGATAGGGAGGTGGGCCGCATGGCGTTCCCAGAACGTCGTAGCCCGGCCCCGTAGGTGGACAGGGCCGACGGGTGCAGCACTTCGAGATCGCTGTATCACCGCTCCCTCTCGTCTTCGATGACTGGACGGGGTGTGGCGTTTTCGAAACGCCAGGCCCCCTCGGCCTTGCTCGTGGAACCGGACGGGGTAGGGCGTTTTCAGAACGCCCTATTATACCATGCGACGCTCGAATGCGTCGGCGACTCACGTGAGGTGATGGTGGAAGGTTTGAAATCTGAATGCGATCCGTTCCTTCATTTGGAATGTGCCTGTCATCAGGAGGAGCATCTGCTGTCCCAGAAAAGAGAGTGTACAACACGTGCACAATCTATAGAGATAGGGAGTGGGCCCTTGATTGGGTGGGGGGGCTACACGAGGCAGGATGTGGGGCCGCTGTGTTTCTTAAGAACTCCTCGGGTGACGATTGGTTCTGTGCTGGAGGGATTATTAAATCCGAGGATGAGAGGGTGGACGGGCACGGACGGAAGTTCAGGAGGTTTTTCCTCACAACGGTGTTCGACGAACAAGGAGTGGACCATGCGAAGGCCGACCGTAAAGTAAGCCTTGATTACCATCTGTTCAAGGGGTATGGCGGTAAGTCTATTACCATGAAAGCCTTCGATGTGTCCCTGAAAGAAGACGGGAGTGTGTTGACGATGCTTGGCCCCGTTAAATTCCTCGCCAAAACGAACGGCTACAGGGGATCCGGAAACAGTCCCACGGTTGAGGTCGGCCATCGTATGTCCCCGACATTCGCGCCTTTTGACACGCCGGACGAGGATCTTCCCGGTATAGCAATGATAAAGACATAGAGGACGCCACATAGTTTTCCAACGCAGCAGACGTCAGCGAGTGGGGGTCGGCGCCGCAACAAACAAAGCCAGCCACGTCGTCCACCAAGCGAGGATGAGCATGGTCCTCCTGTGGGTTCGTGCCGCCGGATGGAGTGTGTTGGACCATCTCAACTGTCCAGCTGGCAAGACCGAGGCACCCCTGTCATCACATACAAAAGAAAGGCCCTGCCAACTCGTCCCTCTCCCAGTTGCCAGAAGGATTAAGGTGGTGCGTCCAGAAAGACGGCGCTGCGGGAGATAAGCGAAGGATCGGACGAGGAAACGGAGGACGATTCTAGGGTATGTGTTGATCGACATCTACAGGGTAATCATGCCGTCGACGATGACGAATGTGGTGTCGATGAGGACGACGTCGAAGAGGAGAACAGCGAGAGGGAGAGAGAGAGAGAGAGGATCGTGAGGAAACTATGCACGACTGCGAGGGTGGGGAGTCTCAACAATACTATGAGAAGGACGACGGGGGCGATGGAGAAAATGATCATGCCTATCCTGTAGGTGATGACGATGGACGGCAAGAGAATTCGGCTGATGTGGGGGTCGACGACGCAAAAGGAGAGCGGTCGGAGGCCAGTGCCCAGAAAAAGAAGCGACAATCTTCAACAAGTCCAACGGCGGCGGCGGATAAGCGCGCTGCGAAGAAACTCACTGTCGCTGCATCTCGATAGGCGATCAAAGCTTCTCAAGAGGCGGTCGCTGAAAGCGTGAAGAAATGAAAAGGGTCCGCGTCGACAAGGGCGACAAAAGCGGAGAAACGTCCACCGAAAAGAAAGCAGATGGTGGATGATGGTGACTCTGGAGAGGATGCCGAAGGGGTTCCTCCAAGAGATGTCTCGGAACAGACACAACCTTCCGCCGACACTCGTGATGAAGCCATCGACACAACACGGTGCTTCTTCTTGGAGTTCGATGAAGATGGGCTTGCAAAGAAGAAAAGGGAACACATTGAAGTGGACATCACGAAGATCTTGCCAATACCTGAAGATGACATCCTCTTCAACCATAGAACGTTGGACGAAACGTTGGTGCAGTCCATATATGATGCGATCCATCATGCGGCCAAGGAAACCAACGGGAAGTGGGATTTCATGACTTTCATCATGACTCCCATTGTGCCCGACACGGACGGGTCTCAAGGCAGATGGATCACACCGGAGCAATTCGACGTCGAACTGGCTCATACGTACAACTGGAATGCTGTTGCTGGCCAGCACACGGCTGAGGCAATGAACAGACTCATTAAAGACAAGTCACCGGCCGAGAAAGTGTATGGCTTGAGGTCGTACTCTCACGTACGTGTTGTCTACTTTGACGATGACAGAAAGAGAGGATATCCGTACGTCTCGACATTCGACAACACGAGGGAGGAGTGTTCGATCCCGAGATCATTTTCGTCATTTGTGCGCCAAATTAGAACATTTTGGGATAAGAGGAATGGTCGGATCCGTCCGCCAGGGACCGTGTCCACGAATGACATCGAGGGAATGAAACGGAAAAAGAAATGGGAAGAGTTCATGAACGCCGCCTGCAAAATGACACCTGATTCCGGTCTCATGAACTCGTCCCTAGAGAACGACTACTGCAAGGACTGGACGAACAAGATGCGCGGATATATGAATCTTACGCAATGCAGCGAAACAGTATGCCCACAAGTACAAAAATTCTTCGACATGTACGAGAAGGGGCTACTGCCACGAGTCAACGGTGTGAGATACATCGACCTGCCGGGGAAAGTGGAAGGCAGGCTGCCTGGGCAATACTTCCTCAAGGACAACTCCAGCAAAAAAGTCTTATTCCACTGCATCAAGGCCAGGAAGGGGCCACAAGGCGCAACGGTGTCTATACCTGACTTGACGCCGACAATCTTCAAGCTGTTCGGCGATATGACAGCGAGAGAGAAGCAAGTGGCGCCTCACCACATGATGTGTGGTGATGTCATCGTGACATCACGTTCGGTACCTCGTGGTAGATGCAAGATGGCGGACCTGGTTAAATATACTCGGCGTGAAAGATATATGGTCCGTATGTTCAACTACATATTGTTCAAGGCTGAGGGGAGGTCAAAAGAAGAGTGGAGCGCTGACTTTTTCATCGGTTATATGACCATCTTGGAGAGGTACAGCAAAAACGGCCTGACGGACGAGAAATGGACCGAGGAACGCGACCGCATCCCTGACGACAAGGCGAGGAAGGTGTCGAGGCGTTTGGGCGGTCCTGATGAGATTAATGGTGAGAACGGTGCGGGACTGGAGGCAACCCAAGGCATGTACAAGGAAACCCCGTTCCACCTCAAGTGTTTCATCTACGAGGCAATCGACTGCTTGGACGACCTGAGAGCGGAGGTTAACCGGATATCCTTCAGTGCTTGTCACATATTTTGGGAAGTGGGGAAGAGGATTACCACGATTCTGCCATTTGAAATAAAACCGAAGGGAGTGCTCACCGACAACGAGGAGGTTGTTGGTACGGCGAGGGGGATGAAGATACGGACAACCATTCTTGATATGTCAACATCACCGAAATGTGTTCCGTGGGATGATGATGCCTTTTCCAAACTGTACGCTTTCCTCATGACATGCTGTGGCGAAAACTGGGCCTTGATCATTTTTGCGCCGATGAAACACTAGAAACAGGTGATGCAGAGTGTGTACAACTGGGATGATGTTGAGGTGCTCACAGGGTCATGGTACAGACACTATACACCTTCGACAACCTTGAACAAGTACGGCAACATTGCAGTTCGGTACACTTACATGATGATTATTGTCCTCCACGCCGAGAACGACAATTTGGACAATATAACGGTTGCGCCGAAATTGCGAGCCGAGTTGACAAATTTGAACATTGAAGAGGGTGAATTTGTGAGGTGCTTAGGGGAGTGTATCGGCGCGGAGGGCGACACCGACGCGGTTTATTCTTGGATGGAACGAGACTCAGCACGTCTCCGAAAACTGTGCAGCTCGTTCATCAGGGAGGATGATGGCGTGATACTGTTAGGCAGGGCGCATGCGGGACTGATTTGGGAACTCGCTCGCGCCGGACACCACGTATTTGCGTGTGACGACACGACAAAAGAGCTCACATACTTTTCCAAGTTTTTGGAGTTTTATGTGAAGGATCCGAGGAACAAATGCATGTTCAAAAACCCCAAGTCGAGCACCGCAAGGACCGGGACATTTACTATAAGCTCGGCAGCAAGAGGGAGAAAGTGTGGCCTTACTTATTCGGTGACGCTCCACGGACGGCGGTTGATAACGACTACGTCATCAGGAAAAGTGAACTCGAGATAAAAATGAACGAGTACCACGGATCGCACATGGGTGCTTTCCACATGTTCGTAGGGCGTTGTGAGCATCTGTATTTCAATATGAAGAAAAGAGCACTGTCATGCAGGGACTATGCGGACTTGGCACGTAAAGCAGGGAACTTCAATAACATCGATTGTGACGAAGACACGTCAGACTCTGACCTGGACGTTCCGTCGCACGCGACACGACGTTCGGCGCAGGGAGCGCGTGCCGAGGAACCACAAGGGAGCACCAACGCAGAAGCGGAGAAGGCGAGGTCCAGTTTGGGAGCGACACATGCTAGTGAGGCAGACGTGGAACATAGAATGAATGCAAGGGGAGAAAAGAATGGTGTACCAACGAACCCGGTGGGTGCGAGTGAGGGAATTGTTAACTCACGGGGCAACACAAGGGGAGGAGAGAATGGGTGTGAAATGACCCCGCCGATAGCTGGACCATCATCGACACATGCACCGCAGGCCGAGCAGCGAACACTCACATCGATGAACACAGATGAAGATGAAGACATGGATATGACAGCAGTCATGTCGAAGCTCGTGCAAGGAAAACCGTTACCTCAAGGCTTTGCTCAAGACCCTTCAGTGACATACTTGCTACAAGACAAGTACGAGGAGTCATCGGAGGAGGACTGGGGTCATCATATTCTCTTGCATGAGGGCGTGTTCGAACCGTGCGTGTTTGCGGGCAAGTGGCAAATGGGTGTGACGACAAGAGACCGCGGGTGGGTCGCGAAGAAAAGAAAAGACGCTGCGATATAGCACAGCGTGACGGAGACGCAACTTTTTCGGCGGGTTGCACAAGAAAACGTCAGTGCAACCGAGGTGGCTGTAGCGGCAAAGGCGAAAGCTTTGTTTGAGCAACCAACAGAAAAAAATTGCCAAATTTTTTGTCACGTTGGACCTATGTTTACACTACATTTCAACTGTTTATAAACTGCTGGCCGGGGGGGGGTGTGTATGTTCAACACAAAATGAAGGAAACCAACACTGGCCGTATATTGGGGACACTGAAACTTGTGTGTTCAACTGTTGGACCAACTGTTGAAAAATAGTTGGTCCAACTGTTGATCCATTGTTAGTGGCTTGTTGAAATGTTGTTGAAAGTTGTTGGAATGTTGTTGAAACTTTGTTGAAATGTGTTGAACCGTGTTGAAACTGTGTTGGAATTTGTTGAAGCAGGGTATTGGACCGTATGCACTAGCAGTTTCTACACAGGTCATTTGCGTTGTCCGGGGGTGGGTTGTGATTGTCTTTTCCTCGTTTTGTGGTGAGCACGTTTTGGAGTACGAAGATCACATGGGCGAGCGTTAGGTGTGCGCGCGCCGACCTGGCACGTGATGATTGCACTGACTGATGGAATTGAGGGATAAGAGACTGATGATGAGAGAGAGAGAGAGAGAGAGAGAGAGAGAGAGAGAGAGAGAGAGA